GGAGAGATGATTTATAAGGCTGGGGCTGTGTCCTCTGGTTCTGTCAGAGCCACTGAGCTGAGCCCAGAGCTGAGCAGAAAGGCCTGGGCACCCCTGGGTGAAGATCTGCAGGGTGAAGATCTCCAGCTCTCTGGGAAAAGGAGTCCCAACACGGCTCTCAGGTGGTTCTGGGAGTTTTCTACATCTTGCAGCTGCAGTTCTTAGGGAAAGAGAAGGAGGAGAGCGGGGATCCACAGCTCCTCACGTGCCTGCAGGCTCCAGGCAGGCTGAACTTCAGAGATCTCCTCAGACAGGAGTTGCATCAGTGTCTGAGAGCCCTGGGGGTGTCATTCGGGGTGGATTTGTCTGACAGCCTTTTAAACCTGTCTATATTTCTTGTGGCAATGAGTTCCCCACCAACGCAGTGTTCAATAAATGCTCCTTTTTGGAGCCTGCCACGCTCAGGTGGTTTTGTTTTCCTGCTGGCTTTGCATGACAGAGCAAACCTCAGGACACCTTGGAAAATGTCTGTGCCAAGCACCCACTTTCCTCCTGATGGATTCCCTTGGTCCTGGAGGTTCAGAGGTGGTGGAGAGAAACCTGAGCTGCTGTTGGACAGCCAGGGGTGGTACCTCACTGCTCACTGACAGCAGGACCCTTCGAGGACATCAGCTGGAGCCTCGTCATCATCATCATCATCATCATCATCATCTCATTTTATCTCATCTCAATCTCATCTCATCTCAATCTCAATCTCATCTCACCCCACTCCTTACCATGGCAGGGATACCTTTCCCTGTCCCAGGGATACCTTCCCCTGTCCCAGGGACACCTCCTCTGCAAGAAAAATGGAGAGATGATTTATAAGGCTGGACTGACAGGACAAGGGGGAATGGCTTCAAACCAAAAAAGGGGAAATTTAGGTTGGGTATTAGGAAGATTTGGGGTTTTGCAGAATTGCAGTGGTAAAAGCACTTTCTAAAGGTTTCACTGTGAGCAGAGCTGGATAAATAATGAGAATTCCTCACTTTCTGTAGAAGTTTCTTTGTCTTTTGCTTGCAGATGACCCCATTTGAAGGGAGTGCATTGCTGCCATGCCTGGCCAACACTGGGGACACCTCAGGAAAGTCCCTGCACCTCTCCCAGGAGTGCTGGTGGCACCTTTCCTGCACAGGTGGGCAGATCACAGCCTGGCCTGGCAGCCTCCTGCCCCTGAGTGAGACAGCACAGGAGCCAGGGACAGGTGACAACTGCAGGACAGAGCTGTGACAGCCACGGCACTGGGCTGAGCAACGGGAACAGGGAGAAAGAAATGAGAGGTTCCCATGGGGAAGGAGAATCCCAGCTCCTCAAATTGTACAAAACCATACAAACCACAGAACCCTCTCAGGCAGCAGAGAACAAACCAACCATGAAAAGCTGGTGAAATGTCCCTGTTTCGCTCCGGTTTCTTGTCCTGTCCTTTGGGGCAGCTGCTCAGAAGCTGCAGGACAAGCTGAGCACGTCTGGCCCTGCCTGTGTGAGGCTCTATCCCTTGTCCCCAGTCCCTCTCCAGCTCTCCTGGAGCCCCTTCAGGCACTGAAAGGTCACATTAAGGTCACCCTGGAGCCTTCTTGTTCAGCTTCCCTCTTGCTACAGGCCTGAGGAATTCAGCCAGGTTTTGTGGTCAGGTTTTGTGCTACTTTGAGCCCTCAGTGGAGCAGGAAGAGGAGGAGGAGGAGAGGCAGCTCCTCCTGCCCACCTGCAGGGACAGCAAACAGGGCTGTCCCCTGCCACACCCATGGATGTACAGGCTGAGGGATATTCCAGTGCTCAGGGATTGCTCTGGCTCAAAGGTTTTCTTTCTGCCTTTTCTGTAATTGTATCAATGTGGGCCCCTGTGCCCACTTGTTCCCCTGGCATTTCCCTGCTTGCTGCTCAGCCTGTTTTGTACCTGGAACAAGCAGCCTCCTGCCTGGGACAAACCCGGCATCCACCAATCCTTCTTCAGGCCCAGCTCCAAGGAAATAACCCCCCAAACTCCTCTTAGGAACTTTTTGTAGCTACATTAATTTTAGAAGAAAAATTAGGTCCGAAATGCTGGGCTCATTTTAATGAAGATTCACGGTCACAACTGAATCCCCTGACGAGGAGGAATCAGCTTTTGAGCACATCAGAGTCATTAGAAACTCCTCTCAAAGTCATCAGAGGCCGGTGAGGGGTGACAGGGAGGGATGCTGGGGAGGAATTGGATTTCGGGACTTTGTGAACCTGCACTTCCCTTCCCCGCCTGCAGCCGCGGCAGCTCCGGCACGGAGATGAAAGCACCCGGCGAAGAAGATAAACAAGAAAACAGCTCTGGAACAGTCACGCTGCCAAAAAACAACCTGGGGAGGTTGGGACGGGAGATGAAAGAGAAAGTGCTGGAGGTTTTGGAGTGACTTGCAGGTGGGGATGGAGCTGTCACAGAGTCACTGCCACACGGCTCCGCGGGCACGGGGGGAGCGCAGCTCAGGCATTTTCCCTCTGTCCTTCCCTCCCACAGCCGGCAGCGCGGCTCCAAATCCCAGGAAAGTCCCAGAAATCCAGCGCTGCTCCTTAGGGACTCTTCCCTTTTCACATTTGCTTCAGCTTCTTCTCTCCCGTGTTTTGGCCCCAGGCAAGGCAATGGGATTACACCGGGCATCCAGGGAAGCTCTGTCCTTCTTTAGCTTGCTCTGGCGTTGATAAATTGAGCAGCAGGCGGCAGAGGCATCTGGGTGGGGTTTCATCGTTCCCTCGGTGTGACAAAGCTGTGCTGGCACCACAGGAGCACGTGGAGTCCAAGCTCAGCCGTTCAGGAGGCTGGGCAGGCACGGAGGAAAAGCCAATCTCAAACAGCCTGTGGGGCAGAAAACCTGTCCCTCAGCGTTTCACCAGCCACTCTCTGTGCCCTTGTAATGTTTGGTGTAAGGACAGAGCTCTGTCCTGTTTCTGTCTCAAAACCACTGGATCTTTTCCCCAAGGACTGCCTGCAGCAGGAAGCCTTGCCCAGCTGGGAGAGGGTGCTGGGTTTTCCAGAGGCAGCTCCTCTCCCCTGAGCAGAGCCCCTGCAGAGACCCTAGTCCCTGTGCAGGGATCAGCCAGGTGAGGGAAGGACCTGGATTGTTCCCTCTGGGTGCCTCCCACACTCTGCAAAGCCTTGCAGAAGCAGGGACAGAGTTTCAAGGCAGCCCAGGGCTGAGGATGCTTTCTGTGGTGAATTTGATGGGGACACATGGAAGGCCTCCCTACCCCAGTGAAATGTGCTTTGCAGCCTTTGGTGTCAGGGTTTGGCAGCCACTCCTAACAGGGGAACCATCCCCCGGGAGGGGCTGGCCTCTGGGTGTTGGGGTTCAGAGGGGTGCCTGCACTACAGCACCTCAGGCTCGCCCTGGCTGGCCACGCTGGCCTCAGGCTGCCTCCCTCTGCCTCAGGCTTGAGCTTGGGCTCGGGCACTGCCCGTGGTGTGCATTGACCTGGGCACCTCCCTCAACTGCAGCTCTCAGCAGCCATGGGAGCGTAACAGCCCTCCCTTCCGTGGGCAATGAAGGGGTTTTCCATTTCCCCAGGTGCTCCCAGCACCAGAGCAGCTTTGGAAGGCAGAGCTGAAGCTTTCTTTGCCAGCCTCACAGTCCGTGGGCTCTCCTAAGGGAGTTATCAAATGAGCTGTGGGCACTCACACCTTGGTAGCTTGAGGAAATGGCTTCCACAGGGTGCAAGATGGGATTTTTAGGGATGGTTCTCCCTTTCCATTGCTCCTTTCCTCCTACACGTCTCCCCTGAAAACTGCCTGTCTGCAGCTGCAGGGCTCCCCTCAGTTCCCATCTCCTTGCTGGGATTCCTCGCTGTCCTCTGTGTGTCCTTACAGCTGGCAGCACCTTGGCTTCTTCAGGAAATGCCTGTAGAGGCTTTAGTCGGGTTTGCAGTGGGACACGGAGGAAGCACCAGGACTTTGAGGAAATTCTGCCTCGGTGGCCGTGGCTCACAGCAGTGAAAGCTGCTGTGCCTGAAGGGATCTTTGCTCAGAACAAACCTGTGGTGGCTGTGCCCGGGTCACTGGGCAGCCCAGGGCAGTGCCAACCCAGCCCTGCAGCACCCCAGAGCCCTCCTGGAGCTGGAACAGTTGGAAGGAGTGGGGAGTGTATTGGGCTGGGGTGGGGGTGCTGCTCTCTCCCCACTTCAGGGAGAAGGAGCTGGGATTTGGCCGGGCCCCCTGCACCTTCCAGGGAGGTGCCAACAGCCCCGGGCCGGGAGCAGTCCCTGGGAAGCCTGGGAGGCTTGTCCCGTGCAGGGCTGGCAGGGCAGAAGGGACAGCACGGCCTCGGGGCAGCACGGCACTGGGGACAGCCCAGGGGACAGTGTGTGCCCAGCGACAGGGTCACACACACCTAAAGGGACCACATTCCTGCCGAGCCCCACGGGGACCACACCCCCGGGGACAGGTAGAGGATCCACACCTCACACCCACCTTTAGGAACCACATCCCTGCCAGGACCACCTCAGACCACCACGTACAGGTCCAGTGGCCACTCACCACATCCCTGGCAGGACCACACCCCCGGGGACAGGTAGGGGGTCCGCACACCACACACACCTTTAGGGACCACATCCCTGCCCATCCCTGCCAGGACCACATTCCGGGGCACAGCTACAGAGGCACCACATCCCTGCCAGGACCCGCACATCCCGGGGGGCACGCACAAGCTCCGCACCGCACACACACCTACAAGTACCCCCCTCCCCGCGCGCCCCTTCCCCGGCCCCTCCGGAGCCCCCCGATCCCCGGCGCTGCCCCGGGCGGTGCGGGCTGCGCTGGCGCTGCCCGGGCGGTGCGGGCGGCGGTGCCGGGATGCCGGCGGAGCGGAGCGGCGCGGCGCGGTCCCGGTGATGTCAGGAGCGGCCCGGCAGCGGTGGGCGGTCCTTCCCCGGCTCCCGGCTCGGCTCGGCGCCCGCCCCTGCTCCGCGCCCGGC